CCCCGGCTTGATAAGACTTGTGGAACAAACGGGTATGTGAAAAAGAGCTACAGAACAAAGCATGATTTAGAAACTTATTCTCACATAGATTGTGCTTAGCATTTACGAAGAGCAGATCTTAAATGTTTTAATCCTAACAGCATTCCTTATACCTCCACTAGTCCCTTGGGAATAATGGAGCCATTTGAGAATGCAGCACTCGTGAGGAGATTGAATCTGGCATAAGTATAATCATTGTTGAAAGTGGGACCTAAGGAAAATGAACATGCCAGGAATGTTTTTTAAAGATTGTTTTACTTTTTAAATGTTAAGTAATAGTATTTTTGCATACTTTTTATTAGTAATGTTAAATGAATCTGCTTTTTTTCTTATCATTCCCTCAGCATTTTCTCCATGTCATCAGCCATTACTCTGAGAAAGAAGTTAATCTGTAAAGTGGTTTTTCTTGTTAATACCAGGGGCTAATTCTGGAGCATATATGACCAATGAAGTGTATATTTCCCTCAACATTGAATGACTATAGAGTAGCCACATACACGAACTAGAGAGGAAAGCTGCAAAATCAGAGGGAATTGTTTCCTGTCAATAGAAGATGTATGTGGTTTAAATAAGCGCCCCCCTCCGCCAATTTTTCATTGCCACAACATGTCATAGTTCTGTTGAAATAACACAGCGGTAGTCTGTAATCTTTGATTTTCCATAACATTTGACTAATCACAGCATCTCACTTTCTAATTAACAGATAATGAGACCAACAATGAGATATTTACAAACAGAACACGTGACCTGATCAATGAAATTGACTTTGCATGGTTTATTGATCCCTCAAAGAAATGGTCCTTCCTTGGCTCTCTCTTTTTCTGCTGCACTGTCTTCACAACAGTGGGTCAGTATGATTTACATGAAGTATTTTGCAATAAACATACTTAATCTAATCAAAGATGAAGTAGAAAAAAGTCTCAATGAGATTCATGGCCCTTTAAGGTCAGCATGTGTGACCCAAGGCCCCAAATTATTTGAATAACAACACTAATTTAGACATCTACAACTGTCTTTCAGTTCACAGATATGTGGAAGTAGCTCCTGCCAAACATGGTGGGATTTACTTTTGAGTAAGTGTGTATTGCAATTACATCAGTAAGTAAGACCTCCTAGAAAATGTCATCAGTGGACATGAAGCTTCACCAACTAAATATCTCATTCAAAGATGAGATAAAGTTATCAGGATTTTTATTGATCATGCCAGAACCCCAAATCCTGTGCAAATATTTTGTCCAAATAATGTACAATATGAATAAAAGGACAAGTACATACAGTATGTGCTAGACCCATTGTCAGACCTATTGCCAACATTTTCAGCTTCCCTATGTTGACCTGAGATGGTTGTAGTGGACATCTCCTTGCATTTCCTTGAAGATGTAAGAACTGTATTTATGATTGAGAGCCTCAGTAAACAAGGTTCCCCATTTGAGTAAACTTAGGTGGAATCCTTCTGCAAACCAAACTTTTCAACACAGGTCAGTCAAGGAGTTAGAGCTGATGTGCAGCTTGTCTCTCTCACCCATATTGGCTGGTGTGAATGTGCTTCTTGTTTTCCAATGCATATTTGTACACTTACCTCAAATATGTCCTAGAGTCATAATAGAGTTGAGTCTGACTTCTGATGACACCCATGAGTTTTATTGGAAGTTATTTGCCATTGCCTTCTTCTAGGATCTTTAGCTTACAGCCCTGGCATTCCTTGGTATCCAGTAACTACTCTGCTTGGCTTCCATGCCCTGATTAAGATCAGCCTTGGATTGTAATAGAGCCTAAGTGATCTTTAAGATCAAACAGAACAAAATCAGAAAGAGTTTCTCAATAGATTTTGAATGAAGAAAAATGCTTAAGGAAATTGATAGAGGAAAAATTAATCCACATGTTATCATTTTGCCTGTTGTGACTGATTTAAATCAACTGTGTATTATTTTCACTGTTTTGTTGCAAAACTTAATTTTTAGACCAAAGATAAATGTTAAAGCATTCTTTTGCTGTGGGGTTCTTGCTCCTAAAATTCCTGGTTTCTGAAAAACAGAAATTATGAATGAAACTCTAGTTAAGATGCTAACATTGCACCATTTGTTCAGTAACAACTAACAAAGATTACTGTTTCCTGGCACAACAGATAAAGAGACACTTGTAGATTTGTTCTTCCTTCTGCTTCGTTGTGATGCCTTTATTCAGAATGCATTAATTTTTTTTCCAGTTTTGGTTAGATATGTCAATATTTTGTATTGTGTACTTATGTGAACAAGTCATAAGGTAAAATTAGGACAGACTGATACAGATGTAAGAATATGATTAATTTCCTTACAAAAATTTGTAGTATATGTGTTATGTTTTAGTTCCAACATCATTGTGAACTTTGATAATTCTCCAGATGTTTTTACCCTGCCCAGTACTTATTAGGGGCAAATGACTTATTCACAGTATGCTTTGCCTAGTGAAAGCAGATTATTCCATCTTGCCATGACAACCTACCTCATGAAGACAGGTAGCTCCATCTCAATGAAACACTGAGGCAGAGCTGATCCAGTTGGTTGCTTTGCCTCATTAACAGTGACTTCCATGCATACACAGAAGCCACTTTTATGAAGTGAAGATCTGCAACTGCTCTGCTCTACTGGTTAGAAGTGAAATGACATTTGCTTTGAAGGAGCCTTTCACTCCAATAGATGATAACTCAAAGTGCCCCTTCAAAGATGTAAACAGCCTTAGTCCTATCATATTTGCTGATAGGTAGTTCTTCCACCTATGAAACAGAGTGGCCATTTATATCTCACCACCCCAAAAAGAAAGTTCATCACACCAATTGGGGATTATAAAAATTATATATAATTTTTTAAAGTCCACATTAAAATTGGAATGAACTACTTTAATTAAATAGAAATATAGTATGTCTTCTCATAATTGGCACCCATACTGCTGCTCAGTTTGCTGTCCAAGTGTTTAACAGTTGTTGGGCAACACCAAGGCTTCTGCTCTGCCTTCTTTATTTTTAATTGCAGGAATAAATAAAACATAGTTTATGATGGATAGTGATGAGAGTTAATGCAGTCTAAGTCTATAACCTAAAGTCTTGTAAGTAAGTCCCATTAGACTTAATGGGACTGACTTCTGATATTGTTCTATCATTCAATTAGAACAGAAGTGGGAAACGCATAACCCACTAGATGTTGCCAAATTACAATTAAATATCAACATCACTTCACCCAGCCATGCTTACTGAGGGCTACTCGGGCTACTGAAAGCTGCAGCTCAATAACATACAGAAACGAGTAATTCTAGCCTGCTTGAGGCAGGCCTACGCTTCCCATTTGTAGGTAACAGAGACCCTCTGGCATGAATTTTTAGATCCCTTTTTCATTTCTAGGTGGTGGTGGTGGGTTTAAGAGGCAAAATAGATAAGGCATCTATTTACACATGCTTAGAGCACCAACTACATCCTTGAAAACTCAAAGAAATTGGGCTGATTTTCCGACTGGGAGAGCAAAGAGGAAAAATGCTTAAAATGTCAAAAATGAACCACAAAGAATGGGCTAAACATTTCATTTCCATTCAGTCTGGTAGTGTCATAATATCCCCAGCACATGCTCTGCAGACGAACTGAGGAGCTAGAAATAAGGTTGTTATTATATCTTTATCAGGGTCAAAGATAAGGCACTGAACCTTACTCATATGAGTATTATAGAAATAAATTATAAACAAAGATGTTGCTCTTCACCAAGCGACATTGCCAGCATTTGTGGAAATATCTAGTTGCAGGCCCATCAAGCAAATAAAGGTGTTTAAATATTTAGGTATCTATTTCTAGTCATCTACTTCTTGGATACAGCAAACTCAAGAAATCACAGCCTAAACTCACAAAGCTTTCAGTGCAGTCATTACATTTGCCAGCTCCAATGGGAACATATTACTCTCTGCAGCCATTTAAATTTTCCGTACTAAGGTATTAAGCCTACTGTTGTTTGGTGCCCAGTTCTGTGCATATTCTGATCATTCACATTTTAAACTATCCAAATTCATCAGAACCTTATTGTGAGTCTCTACTGAACTCCAAATGTGCTGCTTTGGTTAGAACTTGGATGGCCTTCTATAGCAGTTTGAATGAGAATCCTTTAGGGTACATTGCTGACTCAACTTACTTTGGCTGATATGGTTCCTTCCACTGGAAGAAAGGAATGGCTAACAATCCATCTTCCTGTGGCTTTTTAGCCTCATTCCTAATATCACTTGGAAGAGACAAGCCGTGCAAATAATTAAATAGAAAACCCTTGTTCTAGACGTACAGAATTGCAGATCCAAAATTCCATCATACTATCTCAAGGACCTCTTTCATGGTTGCTTCATCTTTCCCAAGTATCTCTATAGAATTACTTTTGCCTCACACACGAAAAGACCTCATGTTAGTAAGGTTCATGGCCTTATCTTTAACACAGATGGAGGAGAGATATAAGTCCGAAACTAAAGTCACTTGCTTTTTATTTGTTGGCTTCTCCATTGAAATGTCCAAAACTGCAGCAAAATTTTGCTCAGTTGCAACTGTTATGAGGAGACTTTATGTTTGATTCTTATGACGGTTAGGGAACCAAACTTCTGTGTGTGTGTGTGTGTGTGTGTGTGTTTGTGTGTTCATTCTATTTTCTATATATATGTCCTATTTTTATATATATTTTTTCTAACATATATGTGTATACACACACACACACACACACACACACACACATGCATATTCTATTTTATTACATTTTCCTAGAGAGCTGTTAGAATATCACTAATATTCTGTAAACAGTTTCTTCTTCTGCTATAGAGATCTATTTTTAGGTTCTGGCTGTAAATTAATAAAGTTAAGTTGATTTAAGAATCAAATTTACAAACTGTATATGCATGCTTATATACAATACATATAGTAATAGTGATTTCTCCAATAGTTTGTGGCTGACAAATGGCATATTGGTGTTCTGTATTTTTTAAAAAGGATTTGCATGCATATTAACATCCTTTTGACATTTTTCTCCATTTGCTTACCATTGTAAATTCAGAATGTCACTGAATTTTAATACTTTTGCTGTTTACATATTTCAGTAATCTCTCGCTTGAGATTGTGTCAATATTTTGTAATTATTGTTTGCAGCAATATAAAAAAAATATTAAATGTTGATACATAATCACATAGAAATCCATGCAATAAAGCATTTGGAGTTAATGGTAAATTACAGTTTTTCTTTGTATTGATTTTTCTTACAATTTTCTTCCAAAATATATGGGCAACAGGATGTGGTTGTTACACTGAAAATAATCTTCAGTCTGCAACATCCAACCGTTAAAATTGCCATTATTATATATTATATTCAACTCATTAGGAGCCAAATAACAGCAGAATGAAATTTTAATAATTATTACTCAGGGCTGACACTATTTGATCTGTTGCATCCGATGCCAGACAGACATTTTAGTGGACAGAGTTAAGGCTGCTATTGATAGTATTCTTCATATATTTATTTTCATTTCCTTCCTTACCAATAGGATTTATAATGTTTAATCATTTTAAAATCCTTCATTATAATTAAATGTTAGTATTTTTAGCCCTTTATGGATCATTACCCTGTAGTGGTGAAGGAGTTTGCATACCCCAATGAGTCTGTGAGCTATATTTTTGGGAGAACATTTTCCAAGAAGAGACACCTATGATGGGCAGATCATAGATGAAAAACTAGGCTAATCACAGTCCAGCGCACTCGCATATTCTGCTAGTGGATAATCACAGCCAAGAAAATGTCTATATTAGGGATGTCTGCAGGTATGGTCAATGTACATAAAAAACAGATAAAGCGTGGATTGTACCATCATGGCTACCATTTTGACTTTTTTTACCACAACTTGTAGAACAACCCTGGTCCATGAGATGCTGAAAATGAGCTGCTCAAATCAGAAAATATCCAATGAACTACTGGGGAAAAGGGTTCATAATGAAGTTAATGGGGAAAAAAAAAAAGAAGCCAGCAGAAGACAAGATAGCTAGATACTGTCACTGATATCATAAGCATGAGCTTACAAGAATTCAAAGAAGCAGTTAATGACAAACTTTTCTTGAGAACTATGGTCCATTAAAACCTAAAGAGTCAGAAGTGATTGAATAATAACCAAAGTATTTTTACAATAAGCTTATCTTTAGCCATATAAGCTTTTATTTAGATTTTATTATTTATTTTATATATCAAATTTGCCCATCTTGTTGAAACGACTCTGGACGGTTTACAGAATCTTTAAGAACCTTTAACCTGTAAACCTTACAGAAGTTTTTCTATATTGATGCTGCTTCCTAATTTATAAGACTGCTCTGTGAATCTGTTTCATTGGATCCACTAAAGCTGTGTAGAATATTAAATATGAAATGCGTTTGGAACAAGGGAAGATCTGGGCAAACTAGCAGGCTATCTAGCTCGGTTGCCGACTTTGTCTGGCAACACTTCTCTAGGATCTCATTTTAATAATGGAGGTCTTCCACGTTATGCTAGAGTTTAAAGCTGAGGCTTTTGCACACAAGGCATGTGCTCTACTACCCAATGAACCATAACCCTTCCCATACTGGCAACCTTTATTTTTGTACATTTAAAACAGTCATATTTTTCCACTTCAAGGAATCTAAAAGGAAAAGGAAGAAAGAGAACAGGTTTTAAAATGAAAAATTAGAGAGTTACTAGAATGCCAATCCCATGAACCTATCAAAGGGAAATTAAGAAATTTGCCTATGAAAGGAATGAACAGGGGATGTGGAATGCCATCCTCATGCCGGGGACATTTGATTTAGTCCCTTCCTCAAGCAACCATACACGGACTGCAAACGTTTGCCAGGAGGGAGCCTTTGCATCTATGAGTAGACAAAGACACAGCTGTTATAGAAGTTCATATCTAATATCTCAACTTCATAGTTCCATGACTGCTAAATTAGTGAAAATGTACAATAGTTAGTCTGAACCAGCCAAAATTATTTTTACCGACATTTTCACCACATTTGAAGGGCCCAAAATATATCGACCCCCTGCTCCAAAAGTACAATCCTCCACCCATCACTTCTTTTTACCTTCTTCAGAGCCTTTTTCATAGGTACAGGCCAAAAAGCAGAGTTGTTCCTGCTTCACACCTGAAGGGAAACTCATTCCAAGTATGATTCTGTATTGGAAACCATTACATATTTCAAGACTTTTGTTTAGTACAATAAATCTAGTTAGTTAAGTATGACTTTCACCATTATTTTGTTTGTAAGCCGCCTAGAGTCACTTATATAGTGAGATGGGTGGCGTATAAATTTGATAAATAAATAAATAAATAAATAAATAAATAAATAAATAAATAAATAAATTCGCTCTTTTAGGTTTCCCTATGTGCTCCTGCTTACTTATCCACTGACTTCAGTGACTAAAAGTAATGGAGAAAAGAATTAAGTTGACACAGGATGCAGTGGGAAGAAGTGTGTGTCTGTGGGATGCTCAAATGAAAATTCTGCCTTTGGATCTCAGACATACTTTAAAAAGCTCTGAACTTCCACTCCAGTCCAGGCACCAAATCCTGAGAGCAGTGAGCATAAGTAGTGCCCTACTGGATCAGACCTCTGGCCCATCTAGTCCAGCAGTTTGTCCTCAGAGTGGCCAATTAACTGCACAAGGAAGCCCACTAGTCTCCTAGCAGATGGCCTTCAGAGGGAGTCACACTGCCATCAAGGCTAATAGCCATTGATCCATGAACTAGGGCCTGTTTGGAGGCAAGTAGCTCTGGATTAGTCTGTCAGTCAAAGATAGCCAATGACAGTAGTGCGGTGTTGTCCAAACATGGCCACTTTAAGATGAGTGGACTTCAACTCCCAGAATTCCCCAGCC